TGAGTTCCTGTGCACGTTCGCGGTCGACCGCCGCAGACTCGCAGTCGACCGTGGATCTGTCTGGCTGTTTTTCTTCATCGTTTTGATTCCAGCTTGGCTTCAACTTTGGGTCTACACTTTAGACTAACAATCTCCCATTTGGAGACCAAAGTGCCATCAGCGAGTTCACCCGAACTCTCCCCTTCTTCACATGTATCTTCTCCTCCCCGGAAAATCCTTTCTTCAATTAACAATATCCCAGCGATCGCGCCAATCCTCGTAGTGTGGCTCCGCCTTCGTCTTCTACTCGTGAAGGCCAACTGAAGTTGCGCACAACTCCAGTTTCTCAATGGTGACTGCCTTCGTCAACATGTCCGTCGGATTTTGACTCCCCAAAATCTTCATTAAATATAACTTTCTGTCTTCAACTAGCGAGCGTATAAAATGGTATTTTACGTCGATGTGCTTCGTTCTGGCATGATATACTAGATTCTTGGCAAGATGTATAGCGCTCTGGCTATCACAATAAAGAATTCATCTCCCTTGCTTCAGATCCAACTCTTTCAAGCCCCCGTTCAACCAGATCATCTCATTGCTTGCTTCGGTCACCGCGACATACTCAGCCTCGGTTGTAGATAAAGTCACAATCTTCTGCAGACATGAGACCCAGCTCACTGCTGTCGACGCTAAGGTATAAATATACCCCGTGGTGCTTCGCCTCATATCATGATCACCGGCGAAGTCCGTATCCACGTATCCCTGCAGCACCAACTCCTTCCTCCTAAAACATAGTGGTTTGTTCGTTGTTCCCCTCAAGTACCACAATATCCACTTCACGGCCTCCCAATGCTGCTTCCCTGGATTGCCTACAAACATGCTCACAACTCCCACTGCATGAGCGATGTCCGGCCTCGTGCAAACCATCGCGTACATGAGACTCCCAATGGCCGAAGAATATGGCACTCTGCTCATATGCTCTCTATCTGCATCTGTCTTAGGCGATTGCTCCTCAGATAGCTTGAACTGACTTCCAAGGGGTGTGCTAACAACTTTAGCATTCTGCATGTTGAACCTCTGAAGTACCTTCTCAATGTATTCAGCTTGGCTCAAACTCAATGTCCCTTCAGCTTCATCCCTACTGATTCGCATCCCTAGAATCTGTTTCGCTACACCCAGATCCTTCATTGCAAATTCCTTTGCTAGCTACTTCTTCAAACTGTTTATATCTTCTAAACACGGTCCTGCTACCAACATGTCATCAACATATAATAACATGATAGTGAAGCTGGACTCGAACTTCTTGAAATAATAGCAATGATCCGAATTGCATCTTCTGTAGCCATTATTCTGCATGAAATTATCAAACTTCTTATACCACTGTCTCGGAGCCTGTTTCAAACCATATAAGCTCTTCTTGAGCTTACACACCATCTCATGCTGCTTGTAGATTTCTTTATCCAAGTCACTATGAAGAAAGGCAGTCTTCACATCTAACTGCTCAAGAAAGAGGTCTTCTGCAGCTACCAAACTCAACACCACTCTGACGGTTGTGAGCTTCACGACAGGGAAAAATATCTCCGTGAAGTTCACTCCTTCCCGCTGTTGAAACCCTTCACTACTAATCTAGCCTTGAATCTCTTGCTTCCATCATCACTCTCCTGCTTGACCCGGTAGACCCATTTATTGTGCAAGACTTTCTTCTGTGCAGGTAGCTGGGCTAACTCCCATGTCTCATTAGTGAGTAGAGAATCCATCTCCTCCTGCATCGCATGCTCCCACTACTGAGATTCACTCACTTGCACTGCCTCTTCATAACACTCCGGCTCTCCGCTATCTGTTAAGAGTAGATAATCAAGTGACGAGAGGTATTTGGGATTTGGTTTGGGTACCCTAGATGACCTCCTAGGCTCCACGCCCTGGGTAGTAGCTTCTGCACCTGTAGTCTCCTCCGTTCTACGGTCAGAACTGACATCGTCGCCCCCATCTGGAAGTTCCTCCAAATCCATGTACTCGGATCCACCTGTATCCGTAGTGCTGCTCCCACTGCTTTGGCTATCCTTGGCATTGTCCCTGTCCTTGTACATCACCTCCTCATTGAATATCACATCCCGGCTCCTGATGATCTTCCTGTTCTTCTCATCCCAAAGGCGATACCCGAACTCATCAATGCCGTATCCAATGAATGTGCACTTCTGTGACTTAGCTTCTAGCTTGTCCCTGACATGGTCACTGATATGAACATAAGCCACGCAACCAAATACCCGCAAGTGTGAGAGATTTATCTTCTTTCCACTCCAAACCTCCTCTGGAATCCCAAAATCTAA